TTATCAATATCATGGGAATTAGATAAGGAATCCATCATTTCAGCCAAAAAAAAAAAAGGAAAGAAAAGAAAAGAAAAGGGAAAAGATAAGTGACTCATGCCTTGTTTTATATATATATATATTTTGAGCAAAAGCCTTGTTTATATTAAGGAGTGACAGACATGGAGCAAATATGAACAGTCAAGCCCTATTTAATTTTCACTGCATTATTGATTAGACTCTGGTATTAAAAGGTTTAGTAAATCCAAAAGATCGATGCTTTCATTTGTGTTTTTTTTTTTTTTGCCTCAGATGCTTTAATTTGTTAATGATTATCATGGTTAGAATATAAAAATACAAAGAGCTTCAATTAATAACTCCAGTAATAAAGTTACACTAACATGTGGTGTATGTGCCGTGAGGAACATCCAATCTTTGATGTATTCATTCCATGAACCCAAAAGGGCCTGCGAAAGTGAAATTTGCAGCCATGCGCCACGCCACTGGAATCATTCCATGATTTCACCTGGAACTTTCATCAAGCATCCAACCTGCATCCATTTTCAAGAACCTCATTGGAAGCAATGTTCTGAATTAGATAATGTTGATTTTTTTAAAATACAAAGATAATGTTGATTAATACATATATTTCGATGTCAAATTCATAAAGCAAAATCATCCAACTACTGCAGATGAAAAGGTAGGCAATTAAATAGTGTAGAGAGAGGACTGGGCCAGGATGCACTAGGAGTGCCATCATACATTAATGGAGGATGATGCAGCAAAATCAGAGCGGGTCAATTTGAGAAATCAGAATGCCCCCTTGCTGCATTCAATTCGCCTCATATCAAGTGGATTCATCTGATAAGACTGTATATCGTTTTCATTTGTTGTCAAAACCATTCCCCATTCAATTAGGGAAGAATGTTGCAACCAGACTCCGTACAAACAAAACCACAGCAGTAATATATGCATATATAGTCAAGAAGGGAATACAGGCCCTCGCATTGTAATGCGGATAAGTAACAGATGCCTCATGAATAAAAGTAAAGAACAACTCAATTTTACTTTCAACACAAACAATGCCTTTTTGGCATATCCACTTGATTTGAGTTTTGCCAGGTGGTCCCTCCTGTATTATATATGGATGGAGTGTAGACCAAGTGACTAAAATTATTTTATGTTAAGAATCTTGATGTTACAAAACATCAAAATATATATAAATTGATTTAAAAAATATTTCATTAAATATATATTAGTACAATTTATTCTCTTGTTCCCAAGAATTTATAGCTTAATTGGTACCTCTCTATATCCCATATTGTCAGTAGAGATTGATGTATGGTACTACCTCTGATCCTTAATATAAGACCCTGTTTGACTTTTGTTTTAGTTCTAAATATAAGACCCCAATCCACTTTGTCTCTCATATTTATGTATTTTTTTTTCTAAGATAGTTCTTCTAACGATAATAATTTTAGCCAATACACTTGATTAGTAAAGAGATTTTAGAAAAACAACACATATTTATTACAAATAATTAACTTAATTTGTTTTATTAATTTCTTCAAATTAGTCAACTAGCTCTTATAATTAGGATCGAAGATAGTACTCCTCCGGTCCTAAATGTAAGACCCTTATACTAGAGTGTATAAGGGTCTTACATTTAGGACTGGAGGAGTATTTTATTAATCCTAGTGGAAGGGATTTTGAACCAAACGTAGTAATAATTTAGATTGTTTTCAAAAATTATATTTTTTTGAAGAATTTTTAATACGAATCTTTTCGTTTTAAAATTTAGAGTTGTGAGATGTAATTTTACCAGGAATGAGCTCCATAGAATTCAGGGCTCATGATCCCAAAGGCATAAAGTGGAAATGGTGAAGAGGGCAAAAGCACAGACCATCACATGCAAAAAGGGTTAATTCAATCAATGACACCCATTCGTTTCTTTATAGGTTCATCACTTTTGGGATGCGAGCGTACATTTGTTTCCTATTTTAATTATAATATCGAACACTCCTTTATCTTCACTATGATATTTGCTTGTTAGATAACGCAATAGCCAAAGAAAAATATCACACACTCTTAATCCACGACCACCCGATAGAGACTTTGTTCGCTCCTGGGAATCAATCATATTATGTAAGACCCTATCCTCACATGTTTTTTTGGTCATCGTTGTGGGTTTCAACTTTCGTGTCTCTCTGATCTCTGCTTTGATTTAGATCTTTGCCGACACAAACTGTTATATATTCGGCTTTTTTGAGTGATCCAAAGAAAGATCAAGCACTATGAATAAGGACTAAATGTCAACGTTCGTGTCTTCCTGATCAGCCTGGCTATTTCACATTTGCAACACAATAATATGAATTGAAAGCCTAAAAGCACTCATCGTGTCACACCACACAACTTAACTTTTGTGAAGCTTTGGTCTGTGTGGTCACACTCTGATCTGCTCAATATCTTAGCCCCCAACTCAGCTTTGTTTCTTCATAACCCTACTCACTATCAAGCTTTTTCCCTTTTCTGGGTCCGAATAAATCTGGGGTCCCTTAAAATCTGTCAAACTGTGAAAGAAAAAACAAAGCCACCCACTATGCCTTACCTCTTACCAGCCACATTAACTCAGCTTCTGCTTCTGATAAGTTTTCGTTGAATTACGCTGGCTATATTGTGAATGTAGATCTTGGGAAGGGTAAAACAGCTAGTAAATCATGCTAGTACTAGATAGTGAGAGAGAAGTCGTGATCCTTCTTTGCTGTGAGAACTGAGAAATGGTCCTGAAGGCTGATATATAAAATAAAGGCCCTTCCAAATAGGACCACTTCAAATGATCCAACGGGAGGCAGGACCAACTGAATGGACTAATAGACTGAGTTATAGCTTTCCCCTTATCTAACACAACCAACAATGGCCTCAAACTGTTGAACTAAATTGTCTCATGCAGAGAGTTACTCTCTAACATTGGGAGTTATTAGTATGCTTACCAACAAAGAAGTTAAGGCCTTTTTTGTGGAATAGTACAGTTATATTGGATTCTGATATTTGGTTGCAATAAGGTCAACGTCTGGTAGGAAATGCCAAGTTGGCTGTGCTTTGATTGGAAAATAGAAATGGTCCCTGAATATTTACAAAGTTTCTGATATGACTCTCCGTTCTTGCCGGCTGCTTCTGGACAAATGCGCATGCTCGTTTCTCTGTAGTCTCCATCAACCTCTGCATGTGGTGAGAAACACTTCTCTTATCTTTGTCTATGGCAGCCATCTTGAGTTCATGTTTTTTGATAAAATAAAAATGTTTCTAGAAAGCTCGCAATCACATCAGGCTATCAATACGTAATCAGAAAACAGAAGGCCCGGCAAAAGAACAGGCTATGATCGGAAAGAACCTTCAAACCAAGGGGCTACCACCAAAAACAAAAAATCGGAACTAAAGAAATAGGGTTTCGCATGCGTTCGTAGGCCCAGAAAGAAAAGCATACCCATTTGATGGTCCTTAGCTGCGAGGGCATGTGATATTGTCTTGAAGAAAGGTCACCACACGAAGTCTTTGCTAGGTTCAGGCACATAAGCAGCAAGACGATCAATTCGTAAATTGAGCGAGTCAATAGATGGGATGACAAGACTTTCATCCATAACACCATTAAACATTAACTTCTACAAATTCCCCTGGGGATGCAATTAGATAGGATGATAATGAATTTCTTCCGTTTCCAAATGCCTATCATTCAATCCAATTAACGAAACCCTCAGCTGTTCTTGGCTTTGGAAAATATCTGAGCAGCTTAATGTCACTTATTCTGCCCAAATCTACTGTGCATGGGTTGGCAGAAACATCAAGTCTAATATTAACTCAACCACGTTAATTCCCCTAATAGGTTTTGGACCCCCCCCTTTTTTTTCTCACTTGCAAATTAGGTTATTTGTGTCTAGCTAATTTTGTTCCGAAATTCATGCTAATATATGTATGACTTCTAGATTAAGCTTATTGACTAGTCTTTTAGTTTGTGCGTGTGGCTAAGCAGATAGAGGTTAGAAGCAGAGGGAGGAGATCAGATAACTTTTTTTTTTAGCCTTCTTGGTAAATGGTCTTTAGGGTTTGCGGACCCTTGACAAAAAAGCTGTCGAAATTATTTTCCGCAGGACTAGACTTCATGGGAGTAACATATGAAGGACCCAACAGATGAAGTCCAGAGAAATGGTCCCCCATATATCATATGTATACTCATCAGCATGCCCTGTCTCTTGTGCCTGGACAGTTTTTTCGTTCTCAGGTTTGGATCCCGGAGCTCGCGCATATGGACGAACAGTTGACGTTGATGCCAAGGAGGACGAAGGTTCAGCAGGCAGGGGAAAAGTAGCAGAAGGAATCTCAACAGGTTTATTAGCAGCTATTATTGAAGTTGAATGCAGCAGCCCTTGAGGAGAAGACATGTTTCCCTGGCACTTCACCGGAACCTTAATAGCAGAAACAGGCGCTTGATCATTGTCAGAATGATTGTTAGCCTCTTGAGTAATCGAACAACGAGACTCGGGGGCTGCTCCGCCTCAGGAGACAATGACCAGTTGCATTTAGATGTTGCAGATATGACTGGAGATAGAGGAGAAGAGGGTGTAGAATTCCCACTGTGACTACTTGAAACTTCAGATAATGATGCTAGTTTTGCAGAAAGACTCTTCCTCTTCCTCCTCCTTCCCTTTTCTTTTCCAGTTTTGACCATGAGATTATTCCCGGGTTGCAATGCTTCCGCTGTGTCAGAGCTCTGAGTTATGGTAGATGGCAATTTTCTTTCATTTGGAGCATCCAACAATTGACTGGTCTGTTTACCGTTTTTCAGAGTTTGCGTCTGATATTGAGACATTCCAAGTGAGTTTGAGTCTTTTCCAACTGAGCATAACAGATTATTCATCTTATCACACATCGATAACCTACTCTTTCTCTGATTATGATGCAGAAGGGTTTTACCACGCATTTTTCACAGTGGTGGGGATATTGTTATTGTCATCACCCTTACACATGAAGTCCAAGGAGCCATGTGCAGTGGTTTGAGGAAATATGATGCAGAATACCACATAAAGTAAGGATGTAAGGAGAAAGAATCCCAGAAAGAGTTTTTTCACTCGCACCCAAAACATGGATTTCTTGCAGTTACTCAGCATATCATGAGGGAAACTTGCCTTCATGGGTAACAGAAAAATACCAGTAGCCAAGGCAAGTTCAAGATCACGATGCACCATGGCTGCAGAAAAATCACTTTGGTAAGATATCAGAAGCTCCGTTGACTCCCCAGGTTCCAAAACAAAACCTCTACAAGAATGAACCATAAAACCATCCAATCCACATTCCCTCCCAGAAACTCTGATACCTAACACCTCCAATGGTAAGTCTCCTGTGTTCTTGGCATAGAGCTCTTTCACTAATGAATGTGAACAGGCTGAAGCCATCTCTTTAACGTGAAGTAAGGCATATGGAAGAGAAAGATTGAGGTGCCCGGCCATTTCAATATCAAAATTTAAACTCTGAACAGGCTCAGACTTCTCAAGCATGACTAGGGAAACTGACCCTCCAAATCCCCTTAGAGATAACCACTCAACGCCTGAAAGGTTGTTCCTTATCAATGCTGAACCACTCCACCCACATCTATCTGATGGGTAAAAAATTATTGGCCCTAAAGATACACGACCATAAGGGTGTACAAAAGCCTTTGTTACTGCAGCCTCAGGTACTGAGAATCCATACTTTGTTGGAGTTGTGGACTCATCTAAAACCAAATTACCAGACGAAGATGGGCTTACTAATCCATCTGGACCCCTGCATTCATCAATTATTTCTCCAGCATTCAAGATAAGCTGCATTACAACTGGATGCTCACTAGGGTTTTTTACAGTGATCCACTGGGGGACAAAACTTCCAACTTGAATCACTGGGAATAACACATCAAGGTTTTCAAGCACAGACATGCCACTTGTTTTCCCTTGAGACATCCAGTTTCCAAGAACTAATTCATCAACATCTGCTGTCCCTATATCCTGCAGAAGCAAATGACAGAAAATTTTAGTTTCTATGATGAGAAAAATGAGTAAAACTAAATATATCTTTAGGCAAAATAATTAAACCTAAGTAGTACGTGGTAAGGATTTGACTTGGCGCATATTTTCCATGCACACCAGTATGGCAATGAGGCGGTTAAAATTGGCAAATAAAGTAAGGATTCTTTTTTCTTTTTTGGGCTGGGGGTGCTCAAGAGAACGCAAGAAGCATTATCAGTGCCTATCTGGAAGCAGATGCCCACAAGATCCTGGAGGACATTTCTGCCTATTATATAATTTATGGGCTTAAAGCATCCAAACTCAAGCCATCAGTATTAAGAGAGATGTCCACTTTTATTTGTATTGGAAACAATAATGTAGAGTAATAGTAAAGACTATTCATTTTATCACTGGTTTGCCTTTATAAAATTTGTCAATCATTATACAAAAATTGCACAGGATCTTGGTCCTTGAGCACTACTGTGGCGTCTTATCCCAAAAAAATCATCCACGATCTTAAATCTCCAGGCTTGGCACCTTAGATCTCGAATAAAATAAGACTTGGATTCTTAAAATGACCCTGGACAGATCCATTGTTAGCCTGAAGTGAACAAAATCATCCATTCATTTGCACGCTCCTAACACCAAATCCATGCGAGACAAATAACTCGCGAAAGGAAATGCTCAAGGAGCATCAATTAACAGTAACTGTCTACCTTAATATTTTATGAAAGAATGTCCATCGGAACAACTATAAATTTCATGCAGCGCATGGAAGCAAACATGCTACCATATTTAGATAATACGTATGTACTTGTGTGCATACATACATGCATACAAACATCTACATATATATTTCTCCATTCAAGAGACTCACTACTCTAAATATATATCTCAGTGTTGAATCAGCAATTGTGTCCAAATAGGAAGGAGAAAGAATCTGCATACCTTAACATGTGGTGGCACTTCCATGCTTCTGGCCACATAACCTGCCCCTAGATCTCCCAATTCGATGTACTTAGTCTCATGCTCTAATCCAATAGATGAAAGCCAGCGATCACCAAAACATATATGTAGTATGTTCTCACACTGAATTTCAATTTGGGTACTAGTTGAGTCATTTGTAAGAATGAGAAGCTTGCAGTTATCTCGCAAGTTAGACTCTCCAGGTGACAAGTCAAGTAATTTGGTGCGCAGCTGACTACAATAAATAATTGCAACTTGTGTAACTGTGCTGGGGAAAAGTAGCAAGCCTTCCACATATTTGATGTGAAAAATCTGAGAGTCAGCAACTTCTACAATTTTAACAAAGCTTGAAAGATAAGGGGCATCATTTCTTATGGAGATAATGATAACAGTTTCACCACCATCACATGGAGTTAGAGCCTCGAGACTTGCTGAAATATGTATACCAACAGTGTCACGGGCAGAATTGCTAACTACTGCAGCCTCAATAGGAACCATGATAGTATCAGACTGTTCTTGTGAAGATCTGAGTAAATGCAGGCAAAATGCACCAAATACTTTTCCCTCCGTTCCCACAGAAATATCTATCTCTAGGAGAGTTTCAGAGCTATGTGGACTAACCTCCCAGTTTCGATGGGGCCTAATTGCTACGACAGGTGAATCAATTTGGCCACTCTTCACAACCAATCGATCCTTAATAATCGGGAAGAGTAGGTTATCAAAAGCATGAATATTATTTATACTACAAATTGCTTCGGTTTCAACAGAATTATGCCCCAATGAAACTGAAATCCAAGCAGTTATTTCATCAACATATATGGTTTCATCAAAGGAGTTGAACAACGAAAAATTCTTGCTCAACATTCCACCGGGGGAAATTTCCAGACCTAGCAGGGGCTGAATACCATAGGGAGATTCAGTCGCATACCCTTTAGCCTCCACAAAGAATCCGCCATAACTTGTTTGCAAAATCAAGTGAGCTGAAGACAGGCCCAGGCATCTAGGGAAGAAAACAAAAGAATAACAACTGATTCACCCGGAACTAGTGAAATTTCACTGAAGTTACAAGGATAAAACTGTGTGTCAGTACTGAAGGGCTCATAAAGGTGTAATACACTGTCAGTGCATGTATTTTCCACAGTTATGAAAGCCACTGAAGCAGAATACATGTACTTTTGTCCCCAGTCCAGCACAGTAGGGCCAATTCTTACATTGGGTGAGAAGAAACTGGATTCAACCATCTTGGAGTTCTTTGGCGAGGAAGGTATTGCCTTCTGCCAAAATAAAGCTCCTCCACAGGAAGAAAGATCATCTTTATGACCACCCTCAGTTTCAAATAATGGAGCATCATTAATTCCTTCTCTTGAGTTCAAAGAGCAAGAAACGACTCCCCCGTTAAGTAGCTCAAACATACCATAGTCAGATGACCAACTTCTGTTACTTGCCTGGTGGCTATCTTGAGTTAGTTCTACGCCAAATGGACCATTGTACTTACTACTAGAATCTTCTAAAGAAGCTTCTTTCAGACTTCTCTGTTGGTCTGAATATCCAGATATTGTCGAAGGAAAGCAGAATGTATGAGTATTTCGGCACATGCTTTCAATACTATTGTGGGCAGTTGGAACCCCATAGCCCACATTAGTGTCACTATCGAAGCTATCTGAAAAATCCAACTTGTAACCTTCCCCAAATGACACACAAGCATCACATTCTGGCTGATTTTGTATCCAATTCGCACAGTATGGTCCATAATCAGCAAAGCAATAGAAGGAACATAACAGAACCACAAAACAGTAGAATGTTTTGGCTGGGTGTGATAATCCCCTGTTTGAAACACAAATAGATGTAAGATTTTTTTTAAAACTCTACAGATGCAACATTACAGAACAATTGCAGCATAGTATCCAAAATCCAAGTCCAAATGAGAAAATAAAAAAGGGGAAAAAATGAGAGTAAAATTACAATAGATAAAGCAACCAAATTTTTAGCGGTAATTATTTCCCCTTGCATCCATTTCGGTTAAACACCGGGTGGAATATTGCGTTTAAGAGACAAACATTACAAAGGAAATGAAATTAAAAGTTATCAACACATGGTATAGAACACATAGTATAGATAGATGTAACAAATGTAAACAATAGAAAGCTTGAAGGAGGAGTAGGCCCCATGAACATTATGCCACCAAAAGTTAGCCAGATGCAGTTAGAGCATTCATTGAAAAAAAAATTAATAACTAAATAACTGAATTATACACTTACTTCATGTGTTTAACGTTAGATATCAAACAACATATAAAAAAGCCGAAAAGAGGAAAAATATCTAGAAGCAATGAACTAGGAATCAAGCTTGCATGCCCGAATTAGAAGCCACAGTAATACTTATATGCACCGTTAAGCACAAATTTAAAAAAAATTAAGGGATTGACACACCACATGACAAAACCAACCCTCAATAAGACCGCAATAACTCAGTCAACGAAAAAGAACTCGCGAAATTGCAATCGCTTCCTTAAACAGAGCGCTCTACTCCAAACGCCCCCGAATGATTAACCCAAATAAAATAACCCACTCCACACGTTCAATCCGGGGGAAAATCATATACCTTCTTTCATCGGTCTCAATAAAAATAGTAAAGATTTAACTAAAATGAAGAAGAAGAGGAGGAGGAGGAGGAGGAGGCTATAACTAGTAACAAAAAAGTCATAGGAACCTGATTACAAAAACAAGTCCTCAACTTCCAATAAATGGCAAAAAGATTGAAAATTTACACAATATAGGAAACCATGGACAAGGAACATGTGAAGACAAAGCAAAGATACTGAAAGCATATTTTTTTAAAGCCATAAAAAGCAAAGCTGACGATGAAGGTAACTAGGAATGAGGAGAGTGGTGGGAATACCGGTGGAAGAGCATACAGAGTAGCTTGAAGGCCCTGATGATTAGGGTTATGAGCTCCATGATAGAGAGAGAGCAACCCATAAGACGAAAGACCAATATTTTTGGGTTGCTCTGACTGCGCTTAGAACCCAAGCACACCCATAGCTGCGAATGAATGGTCCCAGAGAAACAGCGAAACTCAACGACAGGAAAGAACAGAGTAAAAAGAGCCAGAATTTACAGTCCCAGGGCGGAAACGACGTCGCAAGCTTAGTTTCCGCTGGTAAAGGAAATGGGTTGAGCCATTGTAAGGGTCCAGGTTTAGGGTTATGGCTGAGGTCAGGAAAGGATGGGACCTGACTACCTGGTGGCTAGTACTATTACTATCCTTCTCATTCTTCTCTGATTTTTGTTTTGGGATAAGGGTGGTAAGGTCATTTGACCGAAAGGTGGACGAGAGAAACTAGGAAGAGCGGCTCCTCGACTTTTCCAAGATGATGCTCTAAATTAAAATACTTAAACTACATGTTACTTTGCTATATGCTCTTTCTTTTTTTTGGGTCTGATGTTACTTTGCTATATCAATGACACAAATCAAATGTGTTTCGCGTGGCTGCGGAGCTTTGTGTCTTTTTCAACTGTTTGATAATATAGATGTCTTTTAAATGATTTGAAAGTTTATAATCTTCATTATTATTTAAGATTTCGAAAAATCACTTTTTTATCTTCAGTGGGTTCTTTCATGCGGTCAAATATAACTCGTCATTTTTATTAATATATTATATCTTATCATAATTATAAGATTTATTTGTAATTTATAAATAAGATTTTATAAATATGACCGGAGATAGTATTATATATGCTTTACTATTTTTTTTAAAGTTATGATTATAATTTAATCATTTTTTAAAAAAAAAAACTTACTTCAAGTTGCTTATATCTATTCTATCAAATTCTTTAATCACACATGATTATATGCACCTTTTTTTTGGTTTCATATACATTTATAATTAAATGTTATTAAATGCTTATATTTTAAAAATATGACACATGGTCATGTGTAATTAAAAAAACTTGACACAATAAATATTAGAAACTTAATGTAAGTATTGTTTTAGTGTATATTTATTGGGGAGCATTTAATGCAATCGATGCCCGCGGTTATGATTTTCCTCACTACTCACTTATAATTAGCTCAGATACAGCTATTCAAGTTTTTTTTTCAAAAAAATTACAATTGAAGCCGCGTGGCAAACGTAGAAGGTGCCAGTTATCCACATGTCACAATCACATATTTGCATTTGCATGCCTTATAATAAAAAGTTTGTAAGTTCGAATCTCACAATAGATGCAAAAAGTATGTACATTTTGTGTATTATGGTTATTATTTTTAACACTTGACACCCTAGTTGTATCAAGATGTCAAATTTTAAAAGCTCATGATATTTGCACACTTTTATGTTAAGCACAATTGGACTTATTTGCATAATTAAATACTTAATATAAAATGTGCATAAGCTGGGCTTATTTTGGCTTGGTTTTGGACGAATTGTGGATTTATCATAGTTCCTTCGTTTGATCTTTTAAGAGGAATCAATCCAAAAGGCCAACGTCCCTTTCAAATGGGAAAGAAAACACAATGTTAACACGACAATACAACATGAAAATGCACTTATACTTCAACAAGAGATAAAGTTGGCCAAGATCACGCAACTAGGAAAAGCTAGCTAGTGCAAATTTTGTAAATCCAAGACACGTAGTTACATCACATGGTGTCAATTTTTATAGAAAGATCTTGAATTATATGTATGCTTGTCTTAGTCGCTATATATGCCACCATTATTGGGGATACATCCTAGCTAGGAGTTACTTTGAAGATGATTTTAGGCAAAGAGATGCTATACATTGAAAGCTAACGATTGCTTTTTCCCTTCATTTTTTTATGGAATGTTTTATTAGTTTTACTTTGCAAATGCTTGTCATATGGACCCGTTAGGTGATTTTCCCTAAGAAGAACCGATGAAATATAATACTACTTCTGGTTCTAATTATAAGACCTCGTTTATAGATTATAAATAAAATCTTATAATTAAAATCGGAGATAATAGGTTTTAAGCCTTGGAGCCTGTAAATCAAGAAAAATGATCAACTTCTAACCCACAAAAAAAAAACGCCATTTAAGAAATCTTACTGTAAGATGCCACATCAATGTGTATCATTCCTAGTTAAGTTGAATCTTGTACTCTAGGAAGAACACAAGCAATATAGTGAAAAACGTACTCATGAATAATTAGAATAGCATAGCGAATAGCATCTAATTGAATTAGCAAATGATCGTGCAATTATTTGAATAAGTGATCCCTATTTTCACAAATGCTGTTCGGTTCAATCACAAGTTTAATCACAAATGATTGGAACAATTAACTGAGTGGCCACTATTTTCACAAGTACCCACTGATTCAATTACAAGTTAAATGACAAGGACAGTATAATAAATAATACTCCTCCAATTTTTAATATAAGACCTAATTGTTGAGTTGATTTAGGTCATAAATATAAGATCTATTTTTCATATTTATCAGTTTTTCCTAAATTACCTTTATTGATCTCCCTCAACCATAATTAATAAAAAAAAGAGAAAGAATATTAAGAAAGATGATTATGATGTTTTAGAAAAAAAACATATCATATTTTTTATAATTAACCAACTTACCTAACTTCTTTAATCTAATTAAATTAGTTAAATAGGTCTTATATTAAGGGCCGGAAGAGTAATAATTGACTAGCAAATGACTAATCCATCTAAATGAGTGACTATTATTTCTTACTTAAAATTTGTCAATATATAAGCACAGAAGCTGGGGCTTTTTTAATCCAAGAGTCAAATCCTTTAATCACCTTGAAAGAAAAATTCTAAACCATTTTTCATCAAAGGCAATTTTGACTGTGCTCAATATCCGTTGTTATTTTATGAACAGATATTCAAAAATTATAAAAAGTCAAGGGAGTCAATTCCTGTGTCATACCCGATTAAAATATATATATCATCACATTGAATAAGAGAAATAAGATACTTAAAAAAATGCACATTCTAAACCATTTTTCAAATAAGGTGGCCAAATTACCTATTACGTACATTTTCATATAATTTATTTTGAAAAAAATCCGAAATGAAATTGTTAAAAAACTGTCTTGACCGAACTACCTACCAACCATGCCCCAAATTATTTTAGCCAGCCCATGTGTTTGCGTTTTCTTCTTATTCTCATCTGCATACCTGCATTTTGGTTTTTCAATTTGAAAGGAAGGAAAATGAGCGATCTTATGTCCAAGTAGTCAAATGATTAGGAACATAGTATATACCTTCACACACGATACCTCTGATGATAGATATAAAAGTTAGTTAAAGATTTAATTTAATCTAAATATACGATCAAATCTATTTTGTCTTTTATATTTAATTATTTTTTAAAAAATAATTCTCATAATGATTACACATATTAAAATATGGGGCTAAAGTATACTTTTGGTTTTTTAACTTCGCATAAGTTTTCATTTTGGTCCCTTAACTTTATAAAATAAATTTTTAGTCCTCTAACCCTAAAACCATTAATAAAAAATAATGATATTAAGCTCTTAAATATTAATAAAATATTACTAAATGCTATAATATTAAGTTTAATTTTTAAAATAACTATGATTGTTACAAAAAATCCTCATTTAAAACTAATAATTTTGAGATTAAATGACTAAAAGTATACTTTTTAAAGTTAATGGATCAAATTAAAACCTTATATAGAGTTAAAAGACAAAATATATACTTTAGCCTGAAATATTGTCATTATTAATACATATGATAAACCAGAATATTTTAAAAAAGATAAGACTCATTTATTATAAATATTTAAGTTAATTAATTTTTTTAATTTTTATAAATTAGTTATTTAATTTTTTGTATTAAGAGCGTGTGTGCGCGTATATTATACTCCATTTGACTTGGTTTGCTCCAAGCTTCCAACAATGCGTCCTAGCCCTGTTTTATGAGGACGGACCCGTAGCCAGACACGACATATTGTATGACATAAGACCATAATGGGTTGTGTAATTAAAAGTTGAACTTACTGTGTTCAACTATATGTTTTCAAACTAAAATTAAGTTCAGACTTCTCATCTTAAGTATATCAGTTCAAAAAGATATTGTCAGATTTAAATATAATAATTTAATTTAATTTATTTTTTAAATTCATAATTTTTTTCAAAATATTTCTATTAATTATAAATATAAGAGGTCTTCAATTTAACTAATTTTTTTATGCTAAGTATATTTTTAGCCCTTTAATTTTACACAAGATTTTATTTTGGTCCATTAACTTTAAAAAGTAAACTT